GAAGCCACCCTCCCTTGTCATATGACCTGGTGCAGAACATATGCAGCCTGACCTATGCTTCCGAGCACACGTGTAGGCAAATGCTCATGAGGGCAACACAGAAACACGCAAACAAATACGCAGTAGCTATTTCATTATGCAGAGTAAAATGTTGGTGCTTGGACAGCTCTCTAGTAACAATCTTGTGTGTGCTTGCCCTTGATAAATGTAATAAGCTGGATTTCCAGGAGGGACAGAGTACATTCCAGAGGAATAAGAGCCAGCTCAGGCCAAATACTTTACGCAAGAGAAAAAGGGTGAAGACAGCCTGTCCTTAATGGTTCTCAGAGTATAGGTAGATAGTAGAGTGGTTAAGCTGGGGAAGATTCTAACTGTAGGTGTGGATCCATAAAGAATTTGGCTTGGAAGAGTCACCGTATATCTGTCTTAATTTTGGAATATAACATCAACCTTATTTCAATTTACAAGTACATTGAACTGAAAATTATAGTAGAGAGGCAAACTGGATTTAAGCAACAAATTAAGCTATCGAAATACTAAAACAAACTAACTGGGCTGAGTATGTTATACAAACCCAGGTGCTAGCTTGATAATTGATCTGATTATGGGGCATTGGGTGAAAAGAGCCATATGAGACGGAGCAAGATACTTAGCATTGGCAGGACTCTCAGTTATGATGCTGGTACTTGAAAACATCTTTCCTTTTCCAACCCTCTCTTCCCCTTTCCCTTGGCAGGCTACTCTGATCACAGAATATGCCAATGTTGTGCAGCCAATTCAGGTTGCGTTTCAGCAGCAGATTCAGAATTTGAAAACTCAGCATGAAGAGTTTGTCAGCAGCCTCACACAGCAGCAGCAGCAGCAGCAGCAACAGCAACAGCCGCCGCCGCCGCCACAGATGCAAATCCCTCCGCTGGAAAGTGAGGTGAAACCAGCTCCTGCAGCCTTAGCTCCTCCTCCAGCTACTTCCATTGCGCAAGCAGGTACAGCAGATGACAAAAGAGTTTCTGTTCCTGCTGGGTCTCTAGAGAATGCCTTCTGATCCAGGGTTTCTCGGCCTTGGCAACTTGCAAAAGAGGCATGGATTTCCCCAGCCAAATTTGGGCCACATCTCTTCAAATTGCCACAGTTGAGAAACACCGCTCAATCTTCTGTCTGAGAAGCTTGGGAATGCAGTGAGTGGGGCATTCTGAGTATTAATGACTAGACTTCATTAGATGGCACTATCCAGTAAAATCAACAGTGGTTACAGTGGAGCTGAAACTCCCCCAGCTGTCGGGGAGAGTACATCCGGTCTTCCTCAGCCTTTGAGACAATGTGCCCTGAGCAAAGGTTTGAGGCAGTGTCCTAAGCGATGGTCTCTGGGCTGATTTTATGCCATGCCCAGGGAAGAGGCTGCTGTCCTTTCTCACATTTGGGATTTGTTTTCAGATGAAGGGAAGGCTCCGCTGCCCCTTGCAGGCTCCACAGAATACGAAGCCACCGGAGCTGGGCCCCCTGATCCTGCTGCAGCTGGACCTCGTGGACCTGGGCCTCACGATCACATTCCTCCCAATAAGCCGCCCTGGTTTGATCAGCCGCATCCTGTCACACCTTGGGGCCAACAGCAGGTACTAGTAGAAGGTCTGGGAGGTATAAGAGTGGGAAGTCTTACCGGACGTGAAGATCCCTTGTGTGAAGCGGCATCTAGTTCAAGCTCTTGGTTTTCTGAGCAGCCCCCCCCCCCAATCAACCTAACTCCGTGTCTTTCCTTCTGCAGCCCCCCGATCAACCTCCATTCCCACACCACCAGGGTCCTCCCCACTGTCCTCCATGGAGCAGTAACCACGAGGGGATGTGGAACGAACAGAGGGAGCCTGGCTGGAACAATCAGCGTGAAGCCCCCTGGAACAACCAACCAGACCCATCCTGGAATAATCAGTTTGAAGCCCCCTGGAACAACCAGCATGAGCAGCCGCCATGGGCCGGGGGCCAGAGAGAACCCCCTTTCCGTATGCAGCGCCCGCCTCACTTTAGAGGGCCTTTCCCCCCTCACCAGCAGCACCCTCAGTTCAATCAACCTCCTCATCCACATAACTTCAACCGCTTCCCACCTCGCTTCATGCAGGATGACTTTCCCCCGCGGCATCCTTTTGAACGGCCTCCCTATCCCCATCGCTTTGACTACCCTCAGGGGGATTTCCCTCAGGGTGAGTGGATAGTAAGGCTGCGGAGAACGGGGGGTTATTCTAGTCTTGATTGCTATACTGGTATGGTATCCGGTTCCTGTCAGAAGGGATCCTTTAAAATTCTTTGCCTATTTGAGAAATCCTCAGTCTGCTCGCAAGCAGCGCATTCCGAAAAAGGAGGCATCTGCGTATTCCTACTTAAGATTCTGGAATATCTTTCCTGTAAAGTACGGCTTTTCTAAATGGATGCTTGTGGTCACTGGTTTTTCTACCCCCTTAAAACAAAACCAGGATCCTTTTCATCATTGCCAAGAATTGGTGCCCTTTGAAACTGATGGTTGCAAAATTTATAGCGTCTGAAGAAGTTTCAGCCTCAAAGGGGATAGGAAGGGCTCTTTTTTATTACTAAAGCCCAATCCACTGATCCGCTTGGCCTAGAATTTTGACGTCCAGGTATTTGCCTGAATCTGCTGGTCAGTGATTGTCCTGCACCAAGTAGATCGTCCTTTCTTCCCTGAACCTGGCTACATTCTCTGTCCTGGCATGAATTATTTCTTTACGGGTTAGCCGTTCTGATCCTTCTTTTTGTGCACCTTATTCGAAACAGGGCTTGTTGGAAAAGGCCCTTGAAATCCTGCAGGCGCTACTGGGGCAAGTTGAGTTTATAAGTCCTTGCCGAGGAAAGCTGGAAGTAGTCCTAGTTTAGCTAATCTTTGTGAGACAGTTTTGATGTAAGTTCAGGGAGACTGTATCTTCATTTTCTAACCTTGTTTTTGGACTTTTAAAAAAAGGGATACCTGTCTGTTTCTGTTCTCTGCCCTGCTCTTGTTATTTGTATAAGTCCCTTTTCAACAAGACTTGCCTTGAGTCATTTCAAGTGTTGAACTTCTCACATTCTTTTCCAGAAATTGGACCACCTCACCACCACCCTGGGCACCGCATGCCCCATCCTGGAATAAGTGAGCACCCTCCGTGGGGTGGGCCACAGCATCCTGACTTTGGACCTCCTCCCCATGGCTTCAATGGGCAGCCACCTCACATGCGCAGGCAGGGGCCACCTCACGTTAACCACGACGACCCCAGCCTGGTGCCAAACGTCCCTTACTTTGATCTTCCTGCTGGACTCATGGCTCCTCTTGTCAAAGTACGTGCTTTCAATAGTTGATTTGGGAACAACTGGATTATGGGCTCTCCAAGGAAAACTTGTGTATTGTCCACAAGCGTATGAATGTTTCTCCTGAATGGTTGCAGGAGAGGCAAGGTGTCTAGGCTGATAATTAATGTTAGGAACCTAGCTTCTTTTAACGCCAGGTAACTCGTTTCCATTTATGACTTCTTGCGGCAGTTCCCGAAAGTTTTATCTCTGCAAGGCATGTTTTTTTTAAGGGTCCAGTTTTCACAAGTGCCTCATTTGAGTCTGTGATTTTCTTCTTTTTAGCTGGAAGATCACGAGTACAAGCCTTTGGATCCCAAGGACATACGCCTGCCCCCTCCGATGCCTCCCAGTGAGAGATTATTGGCTGCAGTTGAAGCCTTTTATAGTCCCCCATCCCACGATAGGCCAAGAAACAGGTAAAAAAGATTGAGCTAGGCCTAAGTGTTCTCTGGATTCAGCAGTCTTCCTGATAATTTTGATTTCTGACTGCTCCAAATCTGAAGTTCTAGGCATTTTCAGATTATAGCAGGAAATGCCATGAATCTTCATCTTTACCGAGGTAGAGCCTGGTGAGGTCCAGAAGGGCCTTCTTTGCTTTTGCACCTGCCCTCTGGAACATCTTGAGCGCCTGGAGTCAGGTCTGCCCCAGTCCTCCTGACCTTCCTTAAGACCTGGCTCTGCCTAGTTGGCTTGGGGCTCTAAAGGAAAGACTTCATGTTGGAGGTGGCTCCATAGATTAATATCAGATCCCACCTCCCCTCCACCCATCCTGCTTTCTCCCCCTCCCCACCTTTTAGCTATCCTATTTTGTGTTTTATATTTTTTATAGTTTTGTAGCATTCTATTTATATAGTTTTATATTTAAATACTGTAATTCACCCAGAGTTACCCTGTGGTGTAAGATGACCAGCCAATACATTTGATCAACCAAACACTCAGGCAAACTGATTTCTCTCTCTCCCGCTCCCCTTTTCCTCCTTGTTTTCTTATTTCAGTGAGGGCTGGGAGCAGAATGGACTGTATGAGTTCTTTAGAGCAAAGATGCGAGCCCGGCGCCGCAAAGGGCAAGAGAAAAGAAACAGGTAGCGGTTTCATTCATGTTATCCCAGTGAAAGTAACAAAACCTCATAGGCAAAGTTGAATTTTTAGTACTGTCAAGTCAGTATAGTACTGTGTTGTATATATGTGAGGCATAAATGTGGAACAGAAAAGTTCTGTTTTTGCATGGGTCTAAATGTACTTATAGATAGGCTGAATGCATCTCAATCAAACACTTTCTCAAATATAAATGTGACCTTACTTTAGGCTGGCAAACACTTGGCATGTAAGCATGTAATATTAACAAAGTTTATAGGATTGTGAAAGGTATCATATATTTCACCTTCTGAAGCTTTCGGCATTCATATTGCTAGATACGCCTGCACACTGCTTTTTCAGTATCAGTTAAAGACGTATTTTTATTTCCTCCTTTTTCTGGTGCAGTGGCCCCTCACAATCCCGCAGCAGGTCTAAAAGCAGAGGACGGTCTTCTTCCCGCTCCAATTCAAGGTCTTCAAAATCCTCTGGCTCTTATTCAAGATCTCGCTCTCGATCCTGCTCCAGATCAAGGTCCTACTCCCGGTCTCAGTCCAGGTGAACAAAATGGGGAGGAAACTAGGTTTAGAAAAAGACGGTTGGGAAGATTTTTCTACTTGGCTAGCGATTGTACCGTTTTGTACTGACTCCTAAGGAACTTGAACGTTATTGTTGGAAAACTACAGAAGTTGTGTTTGTATAAGTCATAGCTCTTGTGTTTTCCTTTGGAAGTTTTTTTTTTTTTTTGCTTTAAAACTTCATGCTAATGTAACAGATAACTTTCCATGTTTTGGAGGATACTGTAGGACAAGGGATGGCGGAATTGGGCCAGAGTGAAAATGGGGATCAGCCTAGAATCCCTACTGCAGGGGTGTCAAACTCAAGGCCCACGGGCCAGATCTGGCCATCGGGGTGCTTAGATCTGGCCTGCAGGGCTACCCTGGGAAAAGTGAAGGACTGGCCCCCGGTGCCTCTGCCAGCGAAACGGAGCTCGGGAGGTCCCTCCCAAGCTCTCTTATCGCTGGCAGAGGGTTGCAAGAGGCCGTCACAGTGAAAAATGGAGTCGGGAGGCTGTTTTCACTGGCAATGTGCTTGGGCCACCACAGGCACACACACACCCCGACACAAGTGGCATTGAGCTGGCCACACACACCCACCTCCCCAAGGTCAGATATAATCCTGATGCAGCCCTCAATGAAATCTAGTTTGACACACCTGCCCTAAAGCCACAAGGGAACCAGGTCCAGCCCCCTTCGCCCCCCACCTGACTGTTGTTGGCCCTTATCTAACCAGAATCAGGTGCCAGATTGTTAGTTGAGAAGATTCCTGTTCGTATTCTTTTTAGGAACAAATCAGCTTCATTGAACCTTTAGGTGTGGATCTGGTTTTTCACGCCTGACAGCCTTCTGATTACTTCCCTACTATCAGTCAACGGTTCCAATGCTTTCCCAAGGCCTTTTCTTATTGGTAGGGAGGAATCAGGAAACATACAATGTATGTCTATGGAATAAAACTAATTTTCACCTGTATTATTTTGTAGGAGTAGGAGCAGATCCCGCTCTTCACGAAGTCGCTCCCGCTCCAGGTCCCGATCAAAATCCTACTCCCCTAGTAGGCGGCGGCGATCTCGATCTCGCAGTCAAACACCTCCGTAAGATTTGACTTGTTTATTCTGCAAGGATTTTGGTCAGAGGGGGGCAAAAGGCTGAAAAGTTTGAGGAACTATCTAACACAGTAGTTAAAACTATATTTAAAAAAAAAAATCCTATGTAGATTCTTTGCTGTTGCCATCATTGCTGTCTTCGTTTAGTCATTCTTCAGCAAGTGTTAGCCAAGAATATATAACATATCTGATTTACTACATTCTGCTTACTGATGTAGCTCTGCAGCTGGATTGGGCTCCAGCTCAGGACCTCCCATACCAGAATCCAGACTTGGAGAGGAGAATAAAGGACATCAGATGCTGGTGAAAATGGGTAAGAAAGACTGCTTATTTCTCTCTGACTGCATTATCTTCCATGCAATGTTCCAAATTTGTTCCCTGTATGGAGTAGTCACTGCTCACATGTGTCGAGTTCAGCTCCCAGATTTCTCGGCCAATGTACCTATTACTCATATGTGCAATGAACCTGGGGACTTCATGTCCAATCAAGTTGGGAACAGACGTGTGGAGAACCAAGATTTACACAACATGCTCAATCTTTAGCTGCAATTTTCAAATCTTTTGTAACTTGAAATTTTTAGTCATTGTAATTCAGTAAGAAAACAGAACATATTTGGTATGGGAGATTCCAACATGCTTAGGGGGTTGAATAGTTTGCATGTACAATTGACTCAAACATGGGTGAATCCAGGTCCACCTGAATCATTCCTTTGCACGTCAGGATTGGCTGCATTTTGCCAATAATCTAAATACATGGCAAAAATTGCAGTCTTATTACTCTTGCAAAAAGCCTAATCTTCCAAGCATTTTCCTAGCCTACTTTGTGAAATATTTATCCAGGGTCCTGAATCTACTTCTTTATACAGGATTTCCTCTGCTGGAAGAATTTTCCTGAGGCAGATCTGTACATGGAGTGAGCAAAATTGGTCTGGAATGACAGGAAGTGAACACATAGACATGCTTCTGTTGGTTGGCAATTGGAATATTTTTGTGTGGTTGATCATGCTATTCTGTTTTTCAGGATGGAGTGGATCTGGGGGCTTGGGTGCCAAGGAGCAAGGGATCCAAGACCCTATTAAAGGAGGGGATATCAGAGACAAATGGGATCAGTATAAGGGTGTGGGAGTATCCCTAGATGATCCGTATGAGAATTATCGCAGGAACAAAAGCTATTCCTTTATTGCTCGTATGAAGGCCAGAGACGAAAGTAAGTGCCTGGTTTTGCAGGTTAACAATAATCAGGACATAAACTTTTGGATAGTTTCCATCAGGTTAGCAAGCTTTTGGCTAAAAGGGAATTCTTGTTTTAGGAAGATGTGTTGGCTGCTTTTGTTACTGATGCTTAACAAGCAGCACAGCAAGTTGCTGCTGTGAACCATCTTTTGTCTTTTTGAATGTAGTGTATGCATATTTAAAAGAATAAAAAGGAAGTATCTACCTTTCTAAGAATAATGTTAAGTTCTTAATGTTTGGACTAAGCTTGGGTGCATTTGAAAGACGCCCAGTAACAATTGCATGCATTGAAATTGGGGGCAGTGCAAACAAATAGTAAATCTTTCCCTTTGGATTGGCTATATAAATTTGCAGCATGTGTAGTTATGCAAAATGTTTCGAAATCAAAACTTCATTTCAAATGTGAAACTTTTTAGTGCATAAGGGGTTAATCATTTCAGAAGCATTTTCAAGCTCCCTGATTCACAATTTAAATTTTTCTGACAATTATATTTTTCTTCTAAAGGCTAATGGTGTTTCAAGTGGAGGAAGCCAGATAGCTACCAAGTACTGGGCAAATGAATCAAGAATCTACTGTACATTCTAAATCCCCAAGATACCCCTCTGCAGCCATCACAGCTCCATCCAGAACAGAGGGCTTAACCACTCTAGTTACTTCTAGATGTTTAAGGATTTGTAACAAGAAAAAAATATTTAGGTCTTTTATATTTTTGTATATATCCTTTTAAGAAGAATTAAGAGGAGTGCTGTAGACTGACTCATCTGTAGCGCCATTGCATTTCCTTGCTTGTTTCAAAATACGAAGCATTTCTAGAAGCCCTGTCTGAAAACATCTTTTGTAACTGGATGCCCAAAGATCAGCAGTTCTAAGTGATCTAAAACTTGCTCTGAGCGAACTGAAAGAACCGTTTTCCTCCGTCTAGTAGAATTGTTCTTTCACAGCCATCCATTTTGACATAAGGTAGCAACTGTTGTAGACTGACTTACTATAGCTGTGAAATTTATTCATCTTTCAACTCCCTTGTCATGAGTCAGCTACCATCTTGTATTTACTGTTGCCTTCCAATAAAAACTTTTTTCTATATAAGGATGAGATTTATTAATAGGTGATGCAGCAACAGAATATGTTCTCAGTCTCATTTGATACTACTCATTGGATGTGGAGGAGAGTTGAGAGATTGACTTCTTCGATTTAAAGCACTGAATTGAATATTGCATAATTAGATCAAAATGCGGTAAAGACGAGTCATTCCCTTATCTCTGTTGAGGTTTCTCTTCAAAAATCCAGTTAAATGCATATTTCAAGTTGTGATTTTCAAGATTTGTGCTTGACTGAAGAAACAACTTCTTTAGCCTCTTTCTAAAACTCTGGTTGCTGTCTGTTGGGCCTGAAAAGGACTCATGGGCCTAAGAAGCCATTTGTTCATATTCTTTCAGCTCTTGCAAAGCTTGTTCCATGGTCAGAGGCAGGGGCTTGTGCTGTTGAATATACTGCAAGAAACAAAGCCGGATAAAAACAAGATAATGAACCAAACCACTCCATGCCCACAGCTTTCTTTACTCTGACCATTACATAATTGGGGTACTTGGAATTATAAATTTTTCTAGAGGGAGATGTATTTTTTTAAAAAAGAAAATAAGAATTCTGCCAATCTTTAAAACTAAGATTGCAGCACTTTGAAACCACAAATACAACATTTATGAATCTAAGCAGGATCTAAAGTTATAACAACATAATGGGAAACTATCAATAACATTCTCATTCTATAAATTATTCTATAAATTATTAATATCAGTATTTTTTTTAAAAAAATAAGTGTAACAAAATGCCTTTGCACTGGAAAGATGTGTGTCAAAAGTGCCTTGCTGGATAGTACATTCGAAAGCTTCAGGTCAGTCATTTATCCCAACTCATTCTTAGAAGATAAGTTTGGCTAAGAAATTTGGGGATATTACCATTGTTCCTACAGGACACCAGCACATTGAATTGGAACCAGAAATTAATTTTTGACCCAATGAATATCATGTAAAAATAATTCAATATGAAACTACAACAGCCTAATTTCAGTTAGTCTCTATTGTACTAAGAAAGTTCCAAATTACCTCAGGGGCAGACACATGCATAATGTATTGCGGTAATCAAGGCAAGGAATTATCAAGGTACAGCCTGAAACCAAGTTCTATATTCCAGCAGTCCTGTAATTATCATAAACTGTTAGAAGTACTATGTGCTAGTACACAGGACACCTGTCCCCATGGCTGGTATGGTTTGGTTTCATTTATTTGGCTGCAACTGGTGTAGGGCAAAACTGGTTAACCTCCCTCTTTCCGGAGATGGCAAATGGGATCATGGGGAGATCCCATATTGCCACCATGGGTTGCCAATCCCTAATCTAAAAATATACATTGAGGTGAACACTTTATTTTTCAAAACCTCTTTCAGAACTAAATAAATGTTTAGATCAGACTTTATGCTGGCTCAGGAATTCTGAGAGTTTAAGTCCACACATCTTACAGTTGCTGGGGTTGAGAAACATTGACCTAAACAAACCACCTATTAAGAAAATGTCAGACCTCATCTAGTCCATTACTAGAACCAGAATTTTTATCCTGATCCTCAACACTAGCTTGGGCTTCCTACACACAACTCACTCATCACCATTAAGCAGACTACATTTAAGTGGCATTGTGCATGAACATAACTCTCTCCCTACATTTTTTTAAATAATACAGATGGTTTGTATAAAATAAAAGCAAACTTTAAACTACATTTGATTGAAGCAGCAGCCTTAGTTGCTACATATTAATGAACACTGGAATATGGAGACTACAAATGCAATGTAAAAAATGAACATTTTTTGTTAATATTAAATTGTTTGGAACAATTTAACACACATACCCTTTTCCTTTATTTTTTGTTTTGTTATATACCCAAACATAGTTTTATTTTTAACCAAACCAAAAAAGACATTGGAAGTAACTACGGAAAAGAAAGAATGGATTTAAAAAGCTTTCAGTTGTTTAAAATTTGTTTATAAGCTGAAATTTATCATTTAAAAATTGCAGCTATTGTTACTGAAGCTTGGCCTGTCAGCGATTCTCAAAAGCCAAAATAGAGGTTTTGTTTTATGACTGATGCGGCAACTGTTAATTCACCGAAATGATAGGCACTGTTAAAGAGGCATCTCTTTAATATATAAAACATTTCCCGTGCATGTCCTAAGTATAATATGTGGGATACACAAATCTTTAGCTCTCAAGAATAGATGATAGTGGCAGACTCTTTAAGTATCTGCAGCATTTACATTTTTATTTAAGACTCCATTTCTGGATCTTTAATGTCATAGATTCAGAATGCAAGAATAAAACAATAAATTTATCTTTGAAAATAGCAATAGCACTTAGACATATACCGCTTTATAATGCTTTACAGCCCTCTAAGCTGTTGAAAAGCTGCAAAGTGGGTGTTTTTTAAGTGCACATAATCTAGGGATTGCAAAAATTACCATTTTGGCTTCTTCCAAGGTGTGATAGCGGTATTCCTCCTCTTCCAGCGATGCCACAAAGGAGGCATGAAGATGTCGATTGATCTCTATGGACTGCTGAATAAGCAGCAAGTTTTGTTTTAACATGTTATTCAAAGCAGAGATAGATGGATTGTACATCGACAGAGCTGCAGAAGGCAAAAAGATATAAGCATAGTTTAATTGCTCTGACTGGCTATAACTAGGTCTCTCAGGGAAAAGCAGTTTGATCGTAGATATGCTTCAAATCTAAGGTGTTTTTGCTTTTGACAATCTTTACAGATGGGATCACCCCTTAGGGAGGAAATGTGTCTCAATGCAGTTCAGACTTTGCATGCATTGGCTCAGTTCCTGCTACCTTCTCTTAAAGAGGATTTCAGGTATAATCAGGGTGGCAGAATGCACCAGGTTGACAGATGAGGGTTTTTTAAATGAAGTTCATTTACGTTACAAATTAGTTAAATGACACTGGCCAATCAGGAAGAACGGTGACCGTTTTGTTCCATAAGGAGGTGCCTCTCTGTAAAGGGGTATGGAGAGGTATTACCTTCTATGGCTTCCATGTTCAATTTATGGCTGCTAATACTCGGAGCTTCAGCAGAGCTTTGCTGTACTGCATGGCCAACAACAGCAGGAACATCATCTATGGGGCAGGGAAAAGACGACACTTTATGGCAAAGGGACTGAGGCCACTGCACCATTTCTAAAAACCATCTGCATCTAAATCCACTGCATGTTGACTGACTTACATTGTAACCTATAAGCAAGTGAAAAGAAACCGGTCTGAACAGCTGCTTCTTTCACCTCTATCTTCTTTATGGCTTTGGTGTCCTTGAGTGCCACAGAAGGGCAACAGGGAGAAGATAAATTAGATTGGATGGAATGAACTGAAGCATCCAAAAGATCATCTGATTTTTCACAAGACGATTTTCCTCCTGTTTTCTTAGGTGTGGCAGAAAATGATGAGGGCTCAAAGTCTTCAGAATACTCAGTATTGTTGAGGCTTTCCTCCTTGCAGGGGGAATATCCAGCAGAACTGCTGCTTAGCTGCTCAGATATATCAGTTTCTTCCAGATTTTCTTTTTCCTCCAAGGACACTGCTGAGGTTTTAAAGAGGCTTTGAGGATTAGCAGGATACAGAACTGTTCCTCCTAAGTTCTTGTCTGACTTCTCAACTGCTTGTATTACCTGAGAAATATATTTTTTTCTGTTAGCATGAATCAAGACTGCAGCAGAAAATAGAAGCTAAGCAAGCAAAAAACACATTTCCTTGCAATATTTATCTTGGAACAAATGAACAGATGTTACAGATTCCACCATCCTCACACGCTAGTCAGAATAACTGCTTTTCTCTGATAGCATTAGCAGAAAGCAATTATGACCCAACAGTCCTGAATCTTTGCTTCCTTAATAAAGGCTCTAGGATGACACAGACCAATATTGATGCATAGATTAGTTCCTATTCAAAACACAAGAGTTGCTTTACCTCTTCTTTTAATTCTGTTTTCTGGTAGGGTTCCAGTTCATCCAGGCTCAAAATATTCACTCTGAAATCTACAGCAACAAGAAATATCACTTAGGGTAATCTAGTGATAGAACTCACATCTTATCTTATGAGAAGCCAAGTTATTTATTTGTTGGTATCTGGCCAATTTGGTCATGATTTCCACAAAAAACATTTCAACATTTGCTTTTTTTCTGCTGAAGAATCTGTATAGCTAGGCTTTGTGAGTCACAGCTCAAAAATGGGAGGAAAGACCAAGGCCAAAACATGCATAAGGTTAAACTGCAATGCTAATAATTTAGTTTTCTGATAACTAAATACAGATCTGGAAATGTTACTGGAAATGCCAGAAAATATATTGCATAAAAGTCATGTTGTTTTCATAACTCTGTAATACAGCTAGTTCTCAGATTATGAGGGGACTGGGATTGCCATCGATAAATGATAGGGTTGTAAAGTGTGGTGTTATATGATCAGATCATTTAGTGACAATCCAAGCAGTCCTGCTTGCCACTGTAACCCTGGGAATCCAAGTAAGGAGCATGGGAGGGAGTGGGGTGCTGGGGGAGCTCAGGTGTAGGCTACACACAGGTTAAGGGAGGTGCTATAGTACCATGTAAGCACAGGAAGGCCATGGGGTGGAAAGTACAACATTGCAAATGCAAGAAGGCTTTTCCATGGCGGGTATAGCAATAGCACTTATATACTGTTTCAGAGCTTTACAGCCCTCTCTTAAGTAGTTTACAGAGTCAGCATATTGCCCCAACAATCTGGATCCTATTACCAACCTCGGAAGCATGGAAGGCTAAATCAACCTTGAGCCAGTGAGACTTGAACTGCCAAACTGCAGTCAGCCGCAGTCAGCAGAAGTAGCCTGCAGTACTGCTTTCTAACCACTGCACCACCATGGCATGGTACATGTGTAGAAAATTCAGGGGAACTTAACCCATGGACTTTACTTATGGGAAGCAAAGCAAGCAAGGCTTCAGTTGGTGATTACCATGGCTCCCTGGATCGTCTTTGTAATCACCTAGCAGGCACACAAATGTCTGGAT